TACTGTGATGGTTATTGGATAGATGATGAAGGACAAATTAGTCAAGTTGCAATTTCTTTCTTTCAAGATTTGTTTAATCAGGATGTTCCAAATCATGATATGGCAGCTCAAGAAAGACTTTTAATTGTATTCCTCAGGTTATTTCTTCAAAGTTGAATAGTAAGCTCTTAGAGCAAATTTCAGTGCAAGAAATAAAAAAAAAAAAACTGTTTTCAAAGTGTTGCTGGGCCAGATGGTTTCATTGGTTTATTCTTCACACATTGTTGGGACATCATTTCTTCCGACTTAGTTGATGTTGTTAATGATTTTTGGGTTAGTGTTCCTATTCCAAAAGCAATTGCTAGTAATCTTATGCCAACTAGCTCTGATGCCAGATGATATGAACCCGTTAGAGATGAAATCCATAAATCACAAGTTCTGGACCTAAACGATTAATACCTACGGTTTGGTAGCGGAAAAAATTTGACCCTAATCAATTCTAGAAGTCATGCACATGTTGATATAATTTCAACCTGTAACTACTCGAATTAAAAAATCAAATTTATGACATAGAATGCATCACAATTCAACGTGATCTTGAATTAATAAGCTAAATTTGAATGCTTACGAAACTCTAAAGTATTCAAGGGATTGCTTCTACTAAGAGAGAACTCTCTCTTCACACCAAGAGTTGGCTGGAAAATATCACTCTTATTAATCTTGATGATAAAAATGTTCAAGGTTGAAGGTATTTATAACCTTCTACAAGACACAAGATTCCTAATTAAATTTGAAAACAAATGACTACTTTCCTAAAACTCTAATCGGTTGGACTTAAGGTCACAAGATCTTAACCACTTTATTCTAAATATCGACTCAACTAACACTTAAACTAACCCAAATTAACAACTAAGAATGCTGGAAAATTAACTAAACAAATGACTAAAGCATTAAACATAAAACAGCTTCGAGAATTAGGCTTGTACTCTTCCTTTAGCTTCAATCGCTACTTGAGCTCAAGTTGATCCTAGGATTGCATCACAAGAAGGATACAGTCGCCTCATTTGCTGATTTTCAGCCTATTAGTCTTTGTGCATTTCTAAGTAAGATTTTTACTAAAATTTTGTACAATTGACTTAAACCATTGCTGCCTTTCTTGATTTTTGATGTACAGTTGGCTTTTGTTGAAGGAAGGTATGTTGCCAACAATATCTTATTGGCTCAAGGGTTGGTGCATTCCGTTGATAAGAAAATCAGAGGCCATAGTATGACTCTTAAGTTCGATATGACGAAAGCTTTTGATTGAGTTAGTTGACCTTCTTTGTTTGCTTTGATTTGATTGCTAAGTTTGGTTTTAGTCACAGGCTCATTGCCCTAATTCAAAATCATTTAGCAGCTAGTTGGTTTTTCCATTTTGCTTAATGGTAAGCCTCATGAGCTTTTTAAAGCTAGCCGAGTGCTCCAACAAGGAGATCCGTTGTCTCATTTCCTTTTTATTTTGGTATCGAAGGCTTTGAGTTGAGGGATTAAGTTCATGGCATCAGAGGGCCGTATATCTCCATTCTATGTTTCTAATGGTTTTCTATCAGTCTCTCATCTCAGTTTTGCAGATGACATTATTATTTTTACAGGGGGAAAGGCGTTCTCTAAAGCACTTGATGGATTTCCTTGACCTCTATCAGAAGGGTTCTGGACAAAAAAATAAATAAGTCTAAGAGTTTTTATGTCATCTCGGATCATGCTAGTGCTAGACTTTGTCGTTCTATTACCCACATCTCTGGTATCACAAAGAAGAATTTACCTTTTTGTCTGCTTGGGATGTAATATTTACAAGGGTAGGAGGAAAGTTGATTATTTTCACATCATTGTAGATAAGTTCAATAAGAAGCTTGCTGGGTGGAAAACTTAGCTCCTCTCCTGTGGAGGTCGATTGATTCTTATCAAACATGTATTGTGTGTAATTCCAATTCACATCTTTGCAGTAATGGAGCCTCCTAAGGCAATCAGTCGCCAGCTTGAGAAGATTATGGTTGATTTCTTCTTTTTTTGGGCGGGGGGAGGGAAAAGGGGGGGGGGGGGGGAGTTTGAAGGCTCTAATAAACATCATTGGATATCTTGGCAGAAAGTCTCCTGTCCAACACAAGAAAAATGGCCCTAGGCGTTCAAAGTCTCTCAGATATAATGGCAGGCTTTAGCTCTAAACTCTGGTGGAAATTTAGAACGTCTTTGCCGCTTTGGGTTAGAATTTTTACTTCAAGATATGGTTCACATGTCCCTCATCCATGTTGTACACAGTTGAAACAAGGTGATTCTTTGATATGGAAGAGAATGTTGGGGTTTCGTCAAATGGTGGAGGATAAAATGCAGCTGTTGTTTCGTCAAGGAAATGGATCTTTTTGGCATGAGCATGAAGATTGGGCTGGTATGAGCAGTCTTGCTAAGGACAAATTGCATTTGGAGAGAGGAACGGTAAACTTATTTAAAATGTATGCAAGACAAGAAGACAATCCAAAAGGAGATTTTTGAGTTGCTTGGATGTAAGCTTTTTCCTTTACGTAGAGTTAAGTCGTCTAACACAAACCTTTGGCTTCAAAGGACTTCGTTATTACATGACACCATTCTTAATAATCGTTGAGATGTTCTAGTACGTTAATGTTTTAATAGCCTTTTACTGATTTGTTTATTGTATTTGTAATTCCAGGGGTATGCCCCCTTGTAGTTTTGTATCTCGATTGGGTATCAATAAATTTCTTAACGACCCCAAAAAAAAAAGAAAAAAGAATATCATCATTTCAACATGCCAAACATCAATCTAAATGCATCTAATTCAAATGTATCTATAGTTAATCAACTAAATGCTAGGCGCTGGTAGATTTCTAAATAAGAATTGGTAAGGTAAATTAAAGAGACGTACATCATCATGTTTCCCCCTCCCAAGAAAACCATAACAAGCATCAATAAACCATTATGATTCCTAATTTCCTATCAGTCTCCAGAATCTAAATTTTATCATCAGGCTTTGAGCTGGTTATGTTAGTATACATATGTTGTGAGATACAAAATAATGATCTTAAGAAGTATACGCAGGTTTCCCTGGTAAAGACTCTTTGTATCTTCTATTGCATATGGAATTTTACCCATTCAAGGAAACTTGAGATCTAATTGAGGTGCAGAAGTTTGTAAAACAAATTTTAAAAGAGCAGCAGGCCTCATAGATCTCGGTGGATAGAAAATCATCAGGTGGGTAGATAAATTACCCATCAAGAGTAGCAAATATCTATTTCTCACATCACAGGCCCTTCTCTTTCAATTTCTGAAAATTTGCCGGAACATTCCACTCAAATGCATCATGTCATCCGTTCATACGGATTTCAAAACGAAAAAGTTTTTTAAAAAAAAAATCCTGCCTGACATGCATAAAAACCATTAATTATGTAGATTAGCTGGGTAGGAGATGGGCAGCAGGTGATGGTGGTGCTGTGGGGTCAGAAGTAGCTAGTTGTTTTTTATCATTCTTACGGAAAGTAATCAATGGGAATCCGTCTGATTTTTTCATCATTCCCATGATCACCACCACCACCCAACTGGGCTCAAATCTTTGCCACAGCAACACATAGTGGCAAATCAATTTAAGTAGGAAAAGATAGTTTTTACATGTTATTTTCCAAAACTATAGATCAAAAGATACGAAAATCAGTAGATAGAAAAATTATAAAAAAATTTTGCATCTACCTTGTAACCGAAAAATCCTAAAAGCACAGGAGGAATGATTCGGAGCTAAAGGTAGACAACACACTCACGCGTGCAAAAAATAAAAGAAAATTTTGAACTCAGTGTTGCCTAACGATGGATTCCTCGATTCATTTGAGATACCACGTATAGCATAGTAGTAGCAGGATCGAAGAATTGCAATATTAGGCGGAAATGAGATGTTAGGAAGCTTTTTGAATCCCAAAGAATTACTTTCTGGAATTATAAGAACACATATGAATAGTTTGACTTTCAGACTGAACATCTGATTTATCATACTACCCAAAAGAGAAGAGAAAAAAGTAAAGATCTACAAACAAACTCGGAAAGCAGCAATCAAATCCCGAGGCTCCTCAGTCCTTAACCTTATCTTTGTTTGTTATCTATTACTCTTATAAAGGCAGGGCAGGAGACTGGGGCAATCCATTGCCTTGAAACCCTAATTAGCCTATAAGGACGGCCTATCTGCACCTGCCGGTAAATACTATATCAACAAATGCTAAATTACATTTACCTCCCTTCATTTCTGGTATCTTAAACATAACTCCTCTCCACTTTCTTAAATTCTACTTGTAATTTGGATTTTTCTTTTTCTTTTTCATCTGGGCTTGCAATTCTTTTTTCTAACTTGAAAAAAAAGGTTTGCTTTTGAGTTTCATTTGATACTATTGAACAGACGATTGATCTCTTTAAAATATAAAATTAGATTTGGAATGTCAGTTGAATACAAGATGGCTACTTGCTCTGAAATACGCATCTAATTCACAATGGAAGGGGCAAGAAGACACCTCATCGATGACAATCTGATGCCTTGTCCCTAGAACTGCTATTTCTGACATAGCTAAGTGAAGAAAGGAAAGCTCCAAAATCCTTCCTGTCGGTTCATTCTGGCGAAAAGAGAAAAATTATAGTTGCAATGCCACAAAGAATATCATCATTTCAGCAAGTCAAATATCAATCGAAATGAATCTAATCCAAATGCAACTATAATTGAGCAACTAAAATCTAGGCACTGGTAGATTTCTAAATAAGAATTTATAAGGTAGATTAAAGAGACATCACCAAGTTTCTCCGGCCCAAAAAAACCATAACAAGCTTCAATAAACCATTATGATTCCTAATTTCCTATCAGTCTCCAGAATCTAAATTTTATCACCAAGCCTATGCGATCTAGATATAAGCACATCCCAGCAACAATGCTTACTTATTCTTGTTTGTTTTCTTTTGGTGCAGCACAATGAAGGGAGAGAGTAATGCTTTAGAGGAGAGGACCTTAAAAATTTTCATTATCCAAGCTTTGATTGATAAGGGCAATCAGCCAGAGTTGATATAAAATGAAATGCAGAAGATCATTAACTACATACAGCTTAAATGAGCAGAAATTTGAGATCAGAATACAATTCAGGATAAAGTTGGATTATACAAAAATCTACACATAAAATTCCAAATATTAGAGAGATGGGAAAAACTCATCAAGAACAATGGACAAAGAGAGGGGGAGGGGCAACAAAGGATGGGATATCCTGGCAACTATGCAATATTCAGAGCCATTGGATGCTCTAAGGGGACCCCATAACTTTCAGGGCACCCAACAGCCCTGCTGCTTGGTCCCTCGGGCAGATAAACAAGATCTTCCAAGTTCATCAACATACTCCTTCTATAACTAGGAAAAAATATGATAAGAAAGGCTGATCTTTAAAGGTGGAAAGGAAAAGAATGTTTCTGCAAAAGGTGATTAGCATCTTATCTTTTTAAACAGTTTAAACTAACTCCCAGTCTTTTATGGTAATTGGGAAACAGCAGTTTACAAGCAACACACATCAACATCTTGCAGGAGTCTAGGGATCTTAGAATTTTAGGTTTCTTATTCAAGTGATGAGAACTATCCAGCTCCTTTCTCTGCGTACAGTTTCATTCTGCAAATAAAATACAATCTTGACCTATCAGAAATAGAAGTCATTGTTAAGCAAATGAAAACCACTCCCTTTTGCCAGTAAAGAAAGCACGTAGAGAATTCAGAATTCCTAGACACCAATCTAGCTGTTAACTCCAAGATCAGCTAACAAATGGTATACCTAACCTTTCAATTAGGGGGTGCAACTTTATCAATAACAAGAACATGACTACCCCACTTCTCTGCAACTGCCACCAAAAGTTTCCTTGTGAAGCTGAAACAGAATATTCATGTTAAGAGAAAACTTAAACTACCTGGACTACTTAAAAGGAGAAAATTAGGAGGCATACTGCAGAACTAGTTTACTGTACACCAACTTTGGAGGTGCTGAAAGAACTGCTTTTTAGAAATAACAAACAGAATTAGTAACGCTCCAGGAAATAATTTCATGCCAAACACGAAGTGAGCAAAATGGTAAAGAGGGGAACTGAATGGGATGGCCACCAACAGAATGGACTTAATATATCAGCAAACTTGTGGTAGCGTGATGTAACTACAATCCTGCAAGATTGGTATTAGTTCGTAAAGGGAGCCTGCATAATTAAGTGGTGCAACAGATTTCATCTTGTCATGGTAATCTTTTTGAGAAACTAGACAAACAGGAAAACCATGCTTGTTGGAGCTCTGGCTATAGGCTGATTTCAACACAATCTTCTGAGTTTAAAAGTTCAGAGTCTTTGACATACAATTTAATCATACTTCGACTAAACCTGAGCGCCATAAATCTAACATGTGCTTTCTTTCTTTTAGGAAGTTGTTAGATGATAACTTCATGCCAATGTAGCTTTAAGCTGGTTATGTTAGTATACATATGTTGTGAGATACAAAATAATGATCTTAAGATGTATATGTAGGTTTCCCTGGTAAAGACTCTTAGCATCTCTATTGCATATGGCAAGCCCATTCAAGGAAACTTGGGAGCTAATTGAGGTGCAGAAGTTTTGTAAGCAAATTTTAAAAGAGCAGCAGGCCTCAGAGATCTTGGTGGATAGAAAATCATCAGGTGGGTAGATAAATTACCCATCAAGAGTAGCAAATATCTATTTCTCACATCACAAGGCCTTCTCTTTCAATTTCTGAAAAATTGCCGGAACATTGCACCCAGATGCATCATGTCATCTGTTCAGTGCTAATACGGATTTCAAAACGAAAAAGTAAAAAAAAAAAAAAATGCTACCTAACATGCATAAAAACCATTAATTATGTAGATTAGCTGGGTAGGAGATGGGCAGCAGGTGATGGTGGTGCTGTGGGGTCAGAAATAGCTGGTTGTTTTTTATCATTCTCACGAAAAGTAATCAATGGGAATCCGTCTGATTTTTTCATCATTCCCATGATCACCACCACCACCCAACTGGGCTCAAATCTTTGCCACAGCAACACATGGTAGCAAATCAATTTAAGTAGGAAGAGTAGCAAATCAATTTAAGTAGGAAGAGATAGTTTTTACATGTTATTTCCAAAACTATAGATCAAAAGATACAAAAATAAGTAGATAGAAAAAAATAAAAATAAAAAATTTGTATCTACCTTGTCACCGAAAAATCCTAAAAGCATAGGAGGAATGATTTGGAGCTAAAGGTAGACAGCACACCTACGTGCGTCAAAAAACAAAATTTTGAATTCAGTATTGCCTAATGATAGATTCCTCAATTCACTTGAGACACCATATAAAGTATAGTAGTAGCAGGATTGAGGAATCGCAATATTAGGCGGAGATGCTGCAGGGAGCTTTTCAAATCCCAAAGAATTACTTTCCACAATTATAAGAAAACATATGAATACTTTCAGACTTTCACGCTGAAAATCTGATTTATTATACTACCCAGAAGGGAAAAGAATAAAAGAGAATATCTACAAACAACATAGTGTCAATATGGAGTAACCAATTCACCAAGATTTGAGGCAAGAAGCAGAGTTATGTTAGCAGAACCGCATGGCAGATCTCGATAAAAGTATATATTACTATCTGATAAAATAAAAAAAGCATCCTTGAACTAACATAACCTTTTCCAAGTTTAGAATGGTTCAATACCAAGACACCCCTGTTCCTCTTTTCTTTTTTTAATTTCCCTTTGGTAAATGACTTCTCAATGTCAACTAAAGAATCAGGAGACAAAATGGCTTGGTTTCACCCCAATCTTAAGTGTGTCTGCACTTAGATGATTTTATGCTAGCTAAATTAACATATGCAAAACGAAAACAGTTGTGTTCAACTCCTGTAGAAAAATCTGTCTTTTGGGAAAACTTTATAAGTACCCAGTCAACACTTCATGCACCTACATCCCTCATCAAACAAGATTTTTATCATCTCTTTTTAATTCACAACCAGCTTATCACAACCACCTATGGTTTGCCACACAATAATCCAAAAGGTAATTCACAAAAGCACTTTATAAGTACAATCAATACTTCAAGGACCTATATCCCCGATCAAACATGATTTTTGTCATCTCTTTTAATTCACAACCAGCTTATCACAACGACCTAGGTTTGCCACACAATAATCCAAAAGGTAATTCAAAAAAGCACTTCAGAGACATTTAAATCACTAAAATCGTTAGGTAATTAGGCATAATCAAACATCATACCATTGCTGATTCTTCCTGAACTCAGTAAGAACAGGATATATGTTCTCAAAGGTGGTATAAGTCTCATCGCTAACCTGAAAATGAAATGCAGATATCAAATTTAGAGAGAGAGGACAGCCAGAATAGAATACCAAAAATGATACCATACGAAAAACTTAAAAAAGAGTTGAGAATACCATACCTTTGCTCCAGTGAGAACAATCTTTGCAGAAACAAAGATAAGCAAAACAATTTTTGGTTGTTCCATCCAATTGATTAATCCAGGGAACAGTTCTTCATACTGCAACAATCGAAACTAGAGCTGCTCAGCACAACAAGTACATAATCAAGATTCTTCTTTTTACGTCAAGATATTCTCAGCAACATTTGATGGACAAGTTTTAAATCGTAATTTCGTTTTGACAACCAAATAGTAATTATATTAACTTTTTCCACAACATATTTTTTCCCCTAATATACAGCTGAAGTCTTGGTTAGATGCTACAATCTATGTTACACGGACTCGCCATTCTCCCCAGAAGCACCCGTGTCAACACGGTACGACACGGGTACAGGCACGGATGACATGGTAAAAAATTTTTGGATACGCTGACTATTGTGAGATGTGCAAGATATGATGTTGATGGCGGAGGAGAGATGGACAAGAAGTCACATAAGATGGTAAGAGAGTGGAAGAGGAAGAAGGCTGGCTCTGTGGAGGAGAAAGAAAGGAGGAGAAAGCTGCTAGAGATTTGAATAGAAAAATACTCACGACACCTGCTGTATTTTCACTTGATACATACGGGCTGTTGATTCTCTTCCATTGGCGGATATGGGATTGTAGCAACGATGGCATCTAAGAGTTTGTTTTTGGAGAAGAGGAGCTCCGTTTTGATTCGTTTTTAATGCTATGAATATGAGGTGACGGCTGACTGAGAAATGAGGAATGAGCAATGAGGAATATAGGGTTTGACAATGATATTTATTTTGCAACTAAATCCCTGTATTTTGACTTTAATTATCCTGTTCAACAAGTAACTTAATCTCTTTACAATTTTACACTTTTTAATACAATTTTCAGCCACCCGTACTTGAAAATTTTAACTTTCTAACCAAGCCTGTGGTTCTTTTCAACCTAATTGCACATTTAATTGAAAATTTTTTTTATCAAAATACACTTTATACATCATTGTGCATAAATTTTATAATAAATATTTCTAAAAATCTTGTCCATCTATGAGTTTAAGGAGCGCACTCGACACATATCTCCGAATTTTACAATTTTCAAATATGCATATCTGACACTTCAACACGCACCCATATCCAACCCCCGCACCTGAGTCCATGTAACATAGGCTACTATTTGCTAGTTATGGGTTTGTCAAAGTTCAACTAATTGGTAAAATACCTATGAATCAGGAAAAATCTTAACTGATGCATGATAAAGAGATGATAAAACAATCTCTAGTACATACTTCTACCAACACAGGTATGCCATTCAAATTATTTCATTTAGAAGATGCCTGAATGTTTCTAATATAGTGTGTAACGTTCCAAACAAGCTTTTCCACCTAAAGTCATACATAATTTGGAAAGTTCCACAGTTTCCTTGCAATGACCACAAAGTGTGAAGACTCGTAAAAATTCTTATTTTTAAACCTCTATTTTTGGCTCATTTAATTATTTATTTGGATATTTGCCCCGAATAATATTTTCTAACCTTATTAGACCTAAATACATGGAATTATAGCTTCATTATATTTTTAAAGTGACTTGTTTCAAAAATTAATTTTTGGAAGCTCGTTTAGTGAAAATAGTGAAAACGTGTTTGGAAATTTTAACCGATTGAGAGTACAATAAGTTTGAAAAATTGGAGACTTACACAATGGTCCTAAAATAGGTAATTTTATGTTTAAATACTCAATTGATAGTTATTAGTACTATCGTTATAAGAAATTCTTGGAGGATTCGCTTTATCGCGCTAAATTTGGAAATACGCGTTTTCACACGCGCGATTTAATTGAGAAACTTTAGACCCTCATTTTTGGACAATTAAGAGTGAATAATATTTATATGAATATAAGTGTATTGGAGGTCTAGTGCACTAGTGAAATAAACTCGAGAGGAATCGAGCACAAAACGTGCGCGTGAGCGCGCGAAGGAGGGTTGACTTTTGGGCAACTTTGGACCACACACCAAAGGAAGCTTCATTTCAGATCAGAATTCCCTCTCTCCTACCTCCATTTCCAGCGTGCAACTCCAAGGAAAAGAACCAAGCTTGCTCCTTCAATTTTCTTCTCCATTTCCCTCACAAAACTTGCACGATTTTGCACCAAAATTTAACTACACTTAGCTTATTACTTGAAGATCATCTTAAGCTACAAAAAGGGGGAGCTTTTCACGGTTTTCTTGGCCAAGGGGAGGACCAAAAATTCTGTTCTTGCACACCAAGTGAAGTAGGTAACGATCTAACCTTCAAAACTTGGTTTATGGAAGTTGTAGTGCCCTTATATACTCATGCATGTTCATGGGTAGCTTGTTTATGGTGAAAAAATGGTTGTGTGGGCTCTATGAACTCCCACCTTGGATATATGGACTGATTTGTGGTGTTTTGATGGTAATAATGTTTATTTAGTGCATAAACTAAACTAGTGGATTAATGTTGGGTTGTTGATAGAAACTCAAGGATAGTGCAATGACCAAAGGTGACCATTTTGCCCCTGCTTTGTTCGAGCACTTTGGTACAAAATTTTGAGGTTCTAATGTCTTGTTTATGTTGTTTACATGTTATATTGAGTGTGTAAAAATTTTCATTGAAAAATAACTTGATTTGGTCATCCAAATGTTGGAATTTCGGAAGCTTAGAAATCTGGAATTGGTTCCCGTCACTGCCCAGGCAGTCATCTTGTTTCGGCTATAACTCATCGGTCCGATGTCGGAATCGAGTGCCGTTTATGGCACTGGAAGCTAGACATTCCCAGATTTCCATTGGTATAAAATGCATGTCCTGGTTCCACTTGAGCAAGCCAAACCATTCGTTTGAAATTTGCTGTCCTGTTTCGTTGCTTCCTAGAAGGCAGCACATGAGCTGTAACTTGATGCTCACGAACGAGCTAGTTATGGACAGATTTTGAAAACGGTTTCTTCTCAGAAAATATAGCCTTATGAGTCCATTTTCCAATTCCATCAACCATGCTCAATTCTGAGTTGAATTGAGTGATTTATGATCAAAATTCGAATCTGGTATTGTGAAGGAATACCATGCATTTGGACAGATTTGAAACTAACAATGATTTGGGACTTGTTATCCGAAGTTTCTTAGTGTAAATCACCTATCAAATGTACTCTGGACATATTTTAGACATTAACTACCGGAATGGACCATGTTTGAGATGTTTCTTCACCAAATGTTTGGAAACGGCAAAACGGAAGTTCAAAGGCAGTTTAGCCTTAGAATTTCTTGTGATTTCAACGGTCTCGTTAACTGATTTCCGTACATATTTTTCTATGAAATTTGGTAAAGGAGTGGCCCTTATATGGTAGTATATTCATACCAAATTTGGTGCCATTCCGAGTCCGTTTTGATACCCAACTAAAGTCCCAAAGTTTGGAACTTAAATCTGGAAAATTGGCTTAACAGTTTCGGTTTTTCACCAACTTTGAGCTATCGTATCTCGGTGCTCAAAACTCCGATTCTTGATCCTCTTGTTCTGTTCTAAACCTTACTTGCAAGTCTAATTGAGTTACAAATTTCAGAGGCTGGTTGGCAATGTGTGAATTTTACCGAATTTCCAAAGTTAGCGAAAAACTAACCCCGACACAATCCTAAGTACCCTGAAATGGTGACTTTGAGCCCATTTTTGAATACTTTTCATTTAGAATCATGAAAAAGTGTCTTCTAATAAATTTTAGTACATTCAAATAGGATTCCAACGGTACCAAATTTTCCAATTTTGAATGTGTAAAGAGTGAGATACGATTTTTCAAAAATTCGTATCAAAACTGAAATTTCCAAAACTTAAGGGAAATGGAGTTTTTCGAATTCTCCTTTTTCCCTCGATATCACTTGGACGTTTTATACTTGATTTCAAAGACGGAAACTCGATTGCTCTTGTGTTTTGAAACCTCGTCTTTGAACCTCGATTTACGAGTGATTGGAGTTCGTTTTCACGAGATTTTCTTGGAATGTGCACTAGTGCGATCTTTTCATTTATTAGAGTTTATGAGTGATAGATCCTTATTAATTGCTCAGACTCGCACGAGGACCTTCAAGAGGATCCTACGGTGGACGCTTGAAATTCAAGTAACATTTTTCCTTGGTTGACTTGGTGAGTGTCAAGTGTGTGTTACTTAAACTTCTGTGAACTCGATACATGTTTACTTATTATTGATACTTGAGATTTTGAAATTTGAGACGAGCGTGTACTTTATCGCACTCATTCTCGCTTGAAATGAATAACTCGTACTTGAATACTTGCATATGTCAATTGCTTGAATATACCACATGTTTGAATGACTTGAAATAGTATGCTATGGCTGCATATGTCGTTGGAGTGAATCTCCTCGACACTTAAATATATATGGGGGACGCCCAAAACCCCATTGGTCATCCTTGGACTCGAGCCGGCTTGGGCTTGGTCGGGCTCCTTGGTAAACCATGGGGAAAACATGAAAGTTTGATCTTGTGAGAGATCTCGCTCGGCATACTCGAGTAGTATCGCCTTAAATAAATGACAGGCGGACCCGATACAGGGGTATGTAAGGTGAAAGGGGACAGGTTAAGTGGAGTTCTACGGACTAAACCTACCCGATTGACAGAGTGTCAATTCGTGGAGGTTATTGATCGTGCAAGTGGAATATAGCTCATGAGAGCTCCAGTATCCTTGAATTGTTTCTGGTTATCTTTCCAGTAAATTGTTAATTATTGAAATATTATTACTTGACTTGTAAATTGGGATTGTTATTTGAGCAATGTGCTTGCATGTGTGTTCTTGGCCTCACGAGCGTTTCGCTCACCCTGTAGATTTGTTTTCCTTAACAGGATTGGGCTTGGAATGAGACTCGGAGGAAACTTCCTTTTATGTACTTTTGAGGACTTTTGTAATAGGGTTTCAATTCTTTTGTCTAGACCTTATAGCCATTGTGTGTTTTGGGCTGTATTATGGAAACCTGATGTATGGATTGGCTAATTGTTAAATATTGTTAAGTTTGAACGCTTCCGCACTGATTGTATTTTTTTTATCTGGTTGTGATGTCTAGTATTGCATTAAACTCGAACGAAAATTGCTTGAGTCCTGGCGAGAGGTGGGCGGGCGTCCCGCGGATACCCTTTGGTTCACCTTAGGGAGAAGTGGGGGCGTCACAGTTGGTATCAGAGCACTAGGTTGGAGATCTATATGGGAGACATACTAGATACTCTATTCTTAAGATCTGAGACAGAATGACTTAGTCATACTTTAAGGGATACTTGGGCGAATTAGTGACTAAGTTAGGCATACCCTAAAGGGACATCCGAACTAGGTAGTGATTAAGATTCTAACCCGAAAAGTGTTATTATTTTTGCAGGGATGGAAAATGGAAATGGAGCCCCGGCAGCTAACAGGAATGGCCATGCGAATGGTCATGTAGTACCTCCTAGGCCTATCTACTACCGAGCTCTTAGTGGAGGAGCTCGAGTGCGCTACTCACCCTATGATAGGTATCCTCGGTGTTCGTGTAGGGTGACATTTGCCTACCCAAACCACCTCGTGCTTGCTTTGGACGATGAGCATCGTCAGTTAGTGGATCTTAACCGGAATTTACAGGCAGAGGTGGACGAGCTTAGACAGATGGTAGGTACTCAGGGTGAGAGGATCGCTGAGCTCGAGGAGGTTATTGAGGGCGAGGTGGCTACATCTGCCATTATTCGTGAGGAGCTCCAGAGTACTAGGGCTC